TGTTGACTGCCAAAGAGAAGGCATTTTCAAGTGCAGTTTCAAACCTTTCAAGTTTACTAGCAAATTGAATGTTCAAGTCAAAAGAATTTGCATTTATGAAGATTCATATGTATAGAAGTGAATTTTTCAGACTGTTTCTATCTATCTCAACCCCTGGAAAATGAGAAAAATGAGACATTAAACTGAGTCTTGCAGCTCACCTCCTCTGTCATTTATGACACCTAATTCTGCCTCTTGCAGAATTAGAGTATAATGTCAGAAAGCATTTGGTTGATGGTTGAAGAAAATATTAAATGATGCTGCTACTCACCTACAAATGTCAGCACCAAATGACACAGCAGTGCTTTGCTCCTGGGTTTGTGTATTCCCTAACCACAGCTTTCTGAACCAGAAGAAAAGAAGAATGAGAATTTTTTGCACTGGGTTTCAGGCATTGTTTAAGGCCTGCTCACGATAATGATGTCTTCTTCCTTGGAATATTGTAAAGTATTTTCAGATCTAAAATGCCTTTGAAATATTATAAAGTATTTTCAGATCTAAAATGAGTTATTTAAGAGAAAGTAAATCCCTTGGAAGCTATTTGAATTATCTATGTAGAAAATAGCTCTTTCTAGTTCATAGTATTAGAAAAACAATCATTCTCTCTGACATTGTTTCTCTCACTTCCTTGCTGAAATAACAGTCCCTTATAATGGTACTTCATATTGGGCCTTGTCAAAACTAAAAGATAACAGCTTTATTTATAAGTCCACACAATTCTGGCACAAGCCTAGGGCAACAGATAATAAACTTTTTAAAACAATCACATTGCATTGTATCTGGATGCTTTGAAATTTTTTTTTTTTTTACTTTCTTGGTCATTCACAGAATTCAGTATGTCTTAGATATGATGAAATACAGTGAGACTACATGTTCTATCCAGCAATAAATCCCCAACAGATCTTGGAATTTGTGACTCAAAGAGAAATTTTAATAGGGTATGAACAAAGTGAAGACATTCTTACAAGACCCAGGAAGCTATTATTCGGGATGTGTTAGCCAGACGGTCAGTGGCACAATCTTTACTCAGTGAAATTTTTGCTTGATCAGAAACTTGTTTAAAATGGCTACTTTTACCTTCACTTGAATGCAAACTTTAATTCCCAAGAGACAAGTATAGCTGTTCAGGTCATTAAAGAGTTTGTTTCATGTAATGTTTGAAGAAAAAAATAAATAAATGCCTGACAGTGTGAAGGTAGCAACCTCAATTACCATTTCTAGAGCCACTGCAAATCACTCGGTGTGACCATTCTATCTTAATTATACAGCAGAATGAAAAAGGTACCACTGCCCAAGACAGAATGCTTGCTGTAAAACATGCCCCAGGGTGAGATGAAATAGTGAAGTGAGAAGCACTTTAATGGATAAAACAGCAGCTTGGGAATCCAGAAACTATTTCTGCTTAACCTGTCTCCACCATTTCCTCACAAAGCCAACACTCCCTTGTTTACAAAACAGAAGTGACTGTTTTCAGTTTCTGTGAGATAATATGAAAATAAGACAATCAGAATGTGCAGCCATTTTTGCTCCTTGGAAAGAAAAGATCATTTCAGTGCAAATAAAAGAAAAAAAACTATGATAAACAGATCAGAATTACTATTTATTAGGATGAATAGAAATTTGACTTGTGAATTTCTAAAGGTACAAGTTATGTTAAGTGAATTTTTGTGAAGCAAGAAGTATTTGTAGTTTTAAAAGCTTCTTTTCCTACAAATTTGGGGGTTGTGGTGTTTATTATGTTCCTACCAAAAAAAATCCTGACTTCACCACCTAATGCACTCAATGAGCTGCTCACAGACCCATAAAGCAGGTGGTCACCAGATGCATCAGACCTCAAGGAAACAGAATCAGTGCTTGGCAAATTCGTTCAGGCAGTTGGTCTATGAATTCAGGTAGCCTCCTGAGCAAGTTTCATTGTATTTTCAGTATCAGAAGCTAGAGGCAGAAAAACACAAGGAAACATATATTCAACACAGCTGTATTTCAGGGGAGGTGAAGTAGGATTCTGAACCAAGTAACTTAAGAGTTCTCCAGGGAAGACAGCTTAGCCTGCGTGAGGCTCATTAGAAAAGGGATGCAGAGACTTGGCTGTAGGTGCTGGTCTAGGACCCCAGTTTAACTACAGACTCCCTCAGCAGCTGCTCTCCAACGTCTCAGAACAGGAGAGAACCACAACAATTTCTCAGTTCAACATTCTCATTTTCAAGATGTAGAAACTGAGTCTCAGAGAGCGAGGGACTTGCCAACAGTCCCAGAGCCTGACAGGGGCCTAAACAGGTGGAAACTCAGTCCAGAATTTTTGCCACGATACCACACCACCCCTCCTCATCAGAAAAAGAAATGAGCCTGCTCAATTGTTAATGGACCACTAACTAATCTCAAGCATCCCCTCCAGCTCTAAAATTGCCTATTTCTACATCAAAACGTAGGAAAAGCTTGAGAAGTCTTAAACATTGACAGAGAAAACCACCAGCTAACTAAACAAACAAGCTCGAAAAGCTGAATGCAAACCAAGAATGGAAGAGAAAGCACCATGTGCTCTTCAATCACAAAGCCCACGGTCCGTCCGTCTTTAACATTTATTCTTAAGCATCTATATTCAAGATGTTTTTCTTTATTTACTATGTCCATTTGCAAAAGCCACTCCATTTCAAACTTCTAGGAACCTGCAATAAAATCACATTAAGCTAAGTAATAAAATGCCATCATTGGAGTGACAAGAAGCTTCACTACCTGAAGTTTCAATGCGTGCTCCCCTGGCCAACAGGGATGTTGTGAGGATTAATGAGATATTCAGAAAGCATTTTATGCAAACGGAGAAAAGAGCCTCGCAAAAGCAAAGGAGAAATAACAGTAGTTTATCTCCACCATCAACGGAGGAAAGCCTGTCTAAGCAGATGGACCTGGGCTGATGTCTTGAAATTGAGAAAAACACTACCTGCATTAGAGGAGGCTTAGGAGAAAGGTCTTCTTGAGGGAAACAAACAAACAAACAAAAAAAACCTCTGAAACTAGAGAGGTTTTATTCCTCAAACCTTTATCTAGGGTGAGCAACCATCTTGATTTTCCCATGATCACAGTGTTTCTTGGGACGTGGGATTTGCAGTGCACAAACCCCAACAGTTGTAGGGAAACCAGGATAGTTGGTCACTCTATTTGTAGTTTTCATTTTTCTTACAACAATGACAACCTCACTTTCTAATACTCTAACTCAAATTTTGAATTACTTAATCAACTAGGATGATGACATGTTTGGGGAAGATGTTCAAACAAAGAATTTAATACATCAAAATGAGCTTAAATTCCTGTTGGCCAACGCCATCATAGTTTTGGAGACATTCAGGCAAAACAAGGGAAATTGCAGTAACATTTCAATCTAAACTTCATCATCTTGTTTTACTGCTGGAACTTCAACCCCCCAGCCACTTCTGGTCTGTCTCATACTAACAAACTCACACTAATCTTAGCACAATTTCCCACAGCAGTGCTGTGTGCTTCATGGCTGAACCTCTGCTCCTCCAGTTTTGACGAAGGAGGAGAATCTCCAAAGGACTATAAGTCTTGATTGCCTGATCACTAAAGGGGCTCCGATCATTCTAAGATGTGGCTGGATAGAGCATTTCCCAGAATGCATCATATTTGTTGAGCATCATTCTCAACACTTTTCAGAAATGCCAAGATGCTTTTACTTCAATTGTGGAGTCCTCTTTGAATTCTATTTACCTCCCCTTTACTTCTCATAATTCCATTTCTTTCTATAAAACTTTAATGTTATTAATAACTTAACCCAAACCTATGGAATATAAGAATAAAATTAAGTATTTTGTTTAAAACCTTACTTTTTAAAACACTGAATTTTCTAGCCATTACAAAGTTTATAAACCTGGAGAAAGTACTAGGGAGAATATGAGGGTGGATAAAACAGGGGCTTTGCAAAAGCCAGTGTTATACAACTTTAATAAAACTATTGTTGAAGCCTGTGTTAGCAATTTCTTTTTCTTTCTTTTTTCCGACATACTAGAACGTCAAAGAATGAAACGGTCCAGGGCATTTTTACCTTCTGGCAGATCTGGGACTGTGAGGGGGTTAAACAATAGAAACAATATGTATATACCATTTACTGTTGTTAACTGTTTTCTTACTACAACACTGTAAAGAAAATACACTTTCTTTTGCCTCTTCTATGCATCTTCACATAAAAGTTCAGGTCAGTTGGATAAACTACACATTATCAGAAAACGAGGGGAAATTAACTTCAAAGCTAAACTCCACGGTGACCCCCTTCTGTACCAAATGATCACACATAGAGGGAAAAATAAGAGGCATTCACCCAGCTACCCGCTCCTCACCTTGGCATGCTAATTGTCCAAACAGAGTTATAGCTGCGGGCGCTGCTTTCCTGCCTCCAGCCCCTTGTGGATTAATGCCTATTTGCCTGCATTGCTCTTTTTCATTCTGTAGTACAGCTTGAAAAACAAGCACCAGTGAAACCATCGAATCAGGTCACTTTTGGAAGAATTTTCCCATGCACATTCTGCACTCTCTTCTAAATTTACATAGGTTTTCTCAGTCCCCTGCACAGAGATAATTATTCACTCTCCCTCATTATATGATCATATGGAAACTGGTTTTAACATCTTCCTGCAGCTCATAACTGAAGCAACAGATTCCAGTTGTAGCTGGATACGTAAAAACAGGAAGATCTCTCTGAAAACTGATAGGGAAACTCCATATTTCAATCATAAAAGTCAAAGAAAACCATGCAGAATATTTATTTTCAAAATGTGAAAAACATTAAAGTGTACTTCCCAAGTGTACAATTGTCTGAAATACAAAAGAACATTGCTTCAATTTTAGACATCAGAGGTATCAAAAGCAATTTAAGCTCAGCTATGACTGTCATTGTGTCCATAAAAGCCTGAAACTGACAACAAGTATTTTTGAGCACCCATTGTTTTCAGGACACAAAAGGATGAAGAAGACACGAGCTTCAGAAGCTGATGGCCTGGTGGAAACATAGTACAGGAATACGAGCCCCTAGAAGAATCCTCACCTATAAATTCGAATTGATAGGGACATATGAGAAAGAAATTACAGCGGTTTGAAAAGGAGATGGGTTTCATCCAGAAAGAAAGAAGACAAGAAAAGTCTTCCTTGAAGGAATCTCATTTGACGTGGACTCAAAGGGTGAGTAGTGTTTTGATAGAGAGACGAGGGAAACTTTCTTCATTCTTTTCTTGATCATCATCTTAAAACGGAGATGACATTTTACTACCCATCTTGAATGGTAACCATGACGGACTAAAGCACTTGGCCTCTCAAATATCTTTATCTACTTCACATGTATTTTGTCAATTAGGTGATGTTGCTGGTTGAGACTCTCTGGGGTCTGATTGTGGCTTGTTCACTCTTTAGCTGTGTAGCCCTGGACGTGTTACTTTTGTATTTCGTCTCAGTTACTGTAACTGCACAGTGAGTGTGATCATAGTGTCTACTTCACAGGGGTGTTAGGAGGATTATGTGAGATAAAACATGTAAAAAGCTTAGGGAAAACCGGGAACATGGTAAGAAACTTAACACACATTAGCTGCTCCGAACTCCGGCAGAGGTAGCAGCATGAACAAAAATGACAGCAGGTGGGAATAAAAATGGTGTTTAAACAGGTGGGCTACTCTAAACGTAGGGCAGGAAAATCATAAGGGAACTACTGAGGGTCATCAGCCTGGAAACACAGAGTGAGCCACATTATGAAAGACCATGCACGCCAGACTGGGGAGGTCATTCTCAATGACTGGAAGTAGCAGAGTGGAAATGCTGCATGAAATGAAGTGGGACAGCCATGTGATTATTACAGGAGCAGAGTTTAAAAGTCATGAAGGTCCAGTTAGAACAAGAGAAGATCAGTCAAGCTCCAGTGGAAACTCACATCTCTGTCAACTGTGCAACTGACTACAGGGAGAGACCAAGGAGATGGAGGATTCCAAGAGGAATCTAAGTTTCTTAAGTACCACAGCTTAGAACCAAGACTTTCTCAGCAGTAACAAAGAAAGCAAAAGAGAGGGGATGCCAGAGGCAGTGGTGAAATGGGAAAGGAGACAGAATGAGTTCCAAAATCACAATTTCCCTCTTATACACCATACCTTAGGCTTATTTCCCCAGACAAAATAGTCAAGGCAAGAAAATTTGGTGCAACCTAACGGAGCTGTCCACACATGGTGGTCACACAGAATACTGCTAAGCCTAGAGATGATAAAAAACTTAAAATGTCCCTTTTCAAAAAGTATAGCATACAGTAAACGCAATACGTTTCTTAATAGTTTCACTTCATTTGATTAGAGATAGTTGTGAAAATGAAACTAACTAACAGGCATTATAAACATGAAACTTAATCATTGTCCTTGTTCTTAGCAATGTCAGAGAATTCTAAGGGAACTGGTATAGAAAGCATGCATATTATAGATGTATATGTAGCTTTCAGTCCTTCAAAGAGCCTATGGAAGGAAAATGTTTTTGTTCATTTCCAAAACTGTACTTCAGATGTTTTCCTCCCTTGGTAGTTGGGGCATGCTATTAAACTAGTGAGAGGAGAGAGGTTCCCGTTTGTACATATGAATTTTCTTCCTCTTTCCCTCTACCCTAGGTTTTTCACAAGAGGCATAACAATCGAGCTACATAGATAATTCTAATTTAAGAAGCAAATGTATCACTTGCCTGAAAGATAGCAGGCAAGTGACAGAATTGAATAAACAGCTAGTCAGGACATAGGTGGGAACCAGAAGTAGGTAGCAGGAAGCAAAACTGGCTCTCTCCAAAGGAAGGGTGGCGGGAACTCGAACTCTGTGAGGTTCCCCTCTGCTCTGCATCCCTGCACCACAAGCCCTAGTCCCGAACAAGAACGTGGGCAGAGCACTTGAGGGACACCCGTCTCACCCAAGCTGCTGGCATCAAAAAGAGAGGTCTGACCCCTTTTTCTGCTATCGGTTTCCCTGACTGAGTTTCCCCTCAGCTAATCCCTATGTTAAAATGTTGATCCTAGAACCTTTCTTCAGTATCTAAGGGAGCATCCATTTCTTCTCTACTTAAAGAAACAGTGTGGAGTTTTGTGACTCTAAAATAACACAGAGGCATGCAAAGACACTATATACATGCTAGACCTCAACCTCAGGAAGTTTAAGTCTTCTTTGCCTATCTTGCCTGACCCTCGGCAGATTGTAATTTGTGTGTGGCTGTGCGTGTGTCTACAGACATAAATGTGTAACGGATATAAACAGATGTATGATTTTGTCAACCACTCAGTCAATTCAGTCATTTCAAATAGAAAAGCTTAGCATGACATTAACTAAGTAGCAAAATTCTAGTTGTCATTTTCGTAACGTAAGATTAATTGAAAGTATGGACTAAAGTAACAAAAATAATTCTTGTGATTACACAGAGTCACTGAAGTATTACTTAGCTAGAAATTAATTCTATCTGACAGTCAAGGTGATCACTGTAACTTTCACCACTGCCGAAAAGAAAGGAGTGACATTTCATTCTTAGGCAGCTAACTGCAGGCATGTTTTGTAAAGTGGGCAGCAGTGAAGAACCTCAACCCATTAGGCTGTAGTGTTACAAGATCTTGGAAGTATTAATAAGAAAGCCATTAACAGAGCAAAAGAGGTTATAGCATTTTCCAATACAGAGATTTCATGGGCTAAAAATGGGAAAACACTGGCACAAGCAAAATTAAGCTGGTTTCTTTAGAGTATAATATTTTATAGCCTTTAACATGGTAATATAAATTACAGATATCCAAAAGTAAGATAAAATATCCTGTACCTCCCAAACTGAGGGATCCTGATGCTCTCTTGAACAGACTTTACAAAATGTCACTCTATACTTTGAAGCTCGAAGTTTGGCAAATTGCAGTTTCAAAACTCTATGCAATTAGCATGTGAACCTTGTTATAGGAAATTTCTTATTTCAAAATGAGCCCTGTCAGGATTAAATGAAGATATGAAAAAGAAATGTTGCAGAACCAGATGTCAAAGAGATTCTCTATGCTATCCCTACAGAATGAGGACAGACACTTCTTTTATGAAGTTCTCTAGTCAAAAGGCCAGAAATGTATCATACAAATATTCATATATACAGTATAGATTGATCTCTATGTGTTTGTTTATATAAATATTTTTCTATTTAGTAAACAAACAGCAGATGGTTCTATAGTATATGTTCAGATGTCTTTTTTTTATTGAAGTATAGTTAGTTTACAATGTTGTGTCAATTTCTTATGTACAGCACAATGTTTCAGTTATATATATATATATATATATATATGTTCCTTTTCATATTATTTTTAAATGTAGGTTACTACAAGATATTGAATATATAGTTCCCTGTGCTATACAGAAGAAATTTATTGTTTATCTATTTTATATGTAAGTAGTTAGTATCTGCAAATCTCAAACTCCCAATTTATCCCTCCCCACTCCTTTTCCCCCATGGTAACCATAAGTTTGCCTTCTATGCCTGTAAGTCAACTTCTGTTTTATAAATAAGTTCATTCATGTCTTTTTTTTTTTTTTAAGATTCCACATATGGGTGATATCATATGGTATTTTTCTTTCTCTTTCTGGCTTACTTCACTTAGAAGGACAATCTCCAGGTCCATCCATGTTGCTGCAAATGACATTATTTTATCATTTTTTATGGCTGAGTAGTATTTCACTATATAAATATACAGTAACTTCGTTATCCAGTCATCTGTTGATGGACATTTAGGTTGTTTCCTTGTCTTGGCTATTGTAAACAGTGCTGCTATGAACACCAGGGTGCATGTATCTTTTTGGATTAGAGTTCCCTCTGGACATATGCACAGGAGTGGGATTGCTGGATCATATGCTAAGTCTATTTTTAGTTTCTGAGTAATCCCCATACTGTTTTCCATGGTCATTTTTTTTGAGGGGGTTCAACCACTCACTGCCTTTGTCTGATTTGACCACGACTAGATTTATCAACTGAAGTTAAAATGGCCATGAAGCTCTGTGTCTGAGAGAGGGGACAAACTGGATAAGGGCACCAATTATGGAAGCATGTGTACACCAACCCTTTTCTGTTTTGATAAACCACATTTTATGGTAACATTCAAATGAAAAAAAAAAAAAAGATCATCTGAGTGAATTTGGGGTAATCATAACGAAAAAACAAAAGGCTTTGGAAAAAATCTTTTCACATTTTAACAATAGGGAAATATTTTAAATGGAATATGTGCATATTATTGCTAATTCAACCAAAAAATAATAAATTATGAAAATGTCATTTTTCTCTGCCATTTTAACACAAAACAGAAATGTGATATATACGTATTTGAGCATATTTTATTTTTTTCTGACAGAGTAATTCCTGAAAAGCAGAAATGTGTCTGTCTCAATTACTGTGCAGCACACAGAATACATTTGGGCCAAGAAAACTCAATTAATAGATATTTAAAGATTATAAAAATTGCTTCACTATTACAAAATAAAGCCACCTTATTTCCTACTTATTTTCTATATAGTTCTTTGGCCATGATAAGGAAAGGAAAATCAGTACAGCAATGAAGTTGGGAAAACAAATCTCAAAGAGCAGCAATGTTAAAGGATTTGCAAGAGAAGGTTAAGTTTAAAATAGCATAAAGAATCTGGCCGTGACAGAAATAAGTAAATGGGGAAAATGTAGCACAGAGATTCTTTTATCAATATTTATTTTAAAAGTTCAACCAATGACTGAACCCAAAGAGCTTTTATCTGTGGGAAAGCACAGTTTCAAATACAGTCATTTATATAAGCACAGAGGATGAAGGATATGAAAGGGAAATTAAATTTTCAATGAAGCAATTGCCAATCACTTTGCCATTCAAAAAAGGAATGAACTGGCAGATGCACAAAATATTTTTATTTCACTTTTTGACCTTCAGGAGTCTTACTATTTGTTGATAAAACACTACATAGGAAACTGAACACTGGTGATAATTGCTATAAATCTAACTTTATCAATATGCAATACGGAGGAGTCTTGTTGGTTTTGCTGACCATATCATTAACATTTTTGTTTGTCTTTTGAACAATTAAACAACATACATTTTTAAACAGATAATGAAAAATATTGCAAATACTTGTATTAATCTAAGGCAGAAAATTGATATACTGCAAAAGAAAGTAACATTGAAGTTCTAATTTCATCAGAATGCCTTGTTTTGTTGCCTACCAGTCTTAGAAACATAAGCATTATTTCAAGTTGAAGGAAATTACCACTGTTCCTTACAGACCATCTCTAATCATTAAGTTAGAACATTTTGCTGGCAGAGCATTTTCTAGTTATTTAACAAATACATCTAGATGTCATTTTCTAAGTTAGTGGCTTGGTATTTGCAACTCATGTGATATTTACAACAACCCAATAAAAAAGATACTTTCATTATTCCTAATTTTAAATGAAGAAATAGCAGATGACAATCCCAAAACTGATCTAGGTAATCAAACCCCACCCTATTTTTAATAATTATGCCTTTGTTGCTTTGAAACACTCACAGTAATTTCACAATTCATTCACAATTTTAGGGTTTTAAACTAAATTTAATGTTACTTTCTAAGGATAACTCACTTGTACAAAATGTACATCAGTCTGAAATGAAGAAAATTATTTATTAAATCTTAAAATAGTTTGACAGTAAACATTATGTCTGATCATATATGCAATCTGAAATACCATGATGAAATATGGTCTGTGAATTTGAAATTTGAACTCACATCAAGAGATTCCTAACTTGAGGGCAGCAGGGAGACTGACCCATATAAATACTGAGTAACCTTAATCAAGTTGTGTATTATCTTATGACTCATTTCCTTATCTATAAATGAAGATTTTAACAACGCAAGCTATACAGGTAAGATTATGTTGAGACAACAAATATATGCTTGAAATTTTTTTCAAATTAATCTATGGATCAGCTGCTATCAATTCCAAACAGATTATTCAATTTGGGGTCACTCAAGTCAAAGATGATTGATCTTCTGAGTATAAAAACAGGTGTTTTTTGTTTTTTTTATCTTATCAGCTTTTATTTTCCCTCAGACAGTGATTGGCATCTGAATGGAATACTTTTGAAAAGATCATCCTTGTAAGTTACAGACCTCTTCCCTTCATCACTCCCATGATGCTCTTGTCCTACATCGTCCCCTAGGCAGTAACGGCAGAAATGCAAGCCAGCCAAAGACTTAGAGCTAATCCACAGAGGAATAAGATCAAGCCAAGATATCAGAAGAGGGACTGGCTGTTCAGATCATAACTAAAGAGGATGGAGAAGACCAGCTCTAAGCCAGAAAACAAAACCTTGGAGGAAACCAAATCAGTAAGGCACAAATATAACAGTAGAACAGATATAAAGCCAGAAAGCCTGAAAGCATTTTGTAGAAATGTGAAGTACATGAAAACCAAGATAAATCTAAGAATTTCTCTCCATAATGTTCCTTTTGAATCCCTATTCTAAAGGAATTCTCTGCTGCATTCATTGAGGCATAATAAACGAGTTGATGACAAACCCACCCTGGATCCTCCCACCAGCCAAAGTAGGACTAGAATTCTTTTAGGTTTTCCCTGCGTGAATGTGCCTTTTTCTGGGGAATGCTTGGGAACACGGGAGCAGGGTAGTACTTAGTGGGCATGTATGTTCTCAGGCTCTGTGGCTCTTATCTTTGATATTGCAAAATGCTTAAACTGACTTGGCAAATTAGAACAGACTTGAACATGTGACTTGGTTCTTTCAACCATAGTCCATAGGTTATAGGTTGTGGGCAAAGATTAAAGTCCTGCAACTTCTACTAGTAACAGACCAGTAGAACACATGGGTTTAAGGGAGAGTGAAAAAGAGGTAGAGAGGAGCCAGGCAGAAAGCAGAGAAGTATCGTATGCTAAGCTGTGATACAACCTTTATATGGAAATCCAGACATCAGAAGATGTAAGCATTTTAGTGGAGACAACAGAGAACATCAAATTTATATTTTTGTGGCAGCATACTATAAACTGACCCATCAGATATCAGAAATATAAGATTTATGTCTTAAAGAAATTATTTCTGGCCATATTAGCACAAAAAGAAGGAAAAGAAGGAGGAGGAGGAGGAGGAAAAGGAGGAGGAGAAGGAAGAGAAAAAGGAGAAGGAGGAGAAGGAGGAGAAGGAGGAGGAGGAGGAGGAGGAGGAGAAGTTCTTATTTACTTGAAACCTGCTCCTAGTCCCCTGCCATCTGGCTTTACTAGCTCTACCTGTGCTTGAGTCAGTTTTCTTCACTGCAGCTCTCACTGTTACAGACAGCCATTCTACTGTCCAAGCTGGGCACACCCAAATCTCTAGTCTAAATTTCTTCATTTTATTCACTGATTCATTCATTTGAAAAAAAGAAAAAAACTTAAGTGCTGACTTTGATGGATACTGTGATTGGCACTGGAGATTTATCTATCTTCTCTCCACTTGAATTTCCATTGTTGTAATTCATTACCTCATCATTTTTCAACTAAACCTTAGCTGTAGCAGCTGTGCTCTGTCAGATTCTGATTACGCCCTTTTCAATCTTGTCTCTTTAATATTCCTAGAATGATCTTTATAATACACAAATCTGATTGTGTCAAGTCCCTGACAATGGAAACTCTTTGGTGCAACACAGAAAACCCTTTACAGTATGCCTTCTGCTCGCGTGTGCCACGTTAGCTCTTGCTATTCCTCAGTTACAACCGACCTTCATTTCCTGAACTAACTGCACCCCGAGAACATGATTTTTCCTTTCCCCACTGAAGTTCAGCTCACCCTGCCTTCTCTTTTTTCTACATCCCCATCCATGCCTCTTTATTCTTTAGGACTCATTTCAAATGACACCTCTGAGAAGCCTTCTAACAGATCACCCCAGGAAGGCTGGTTTAAAACTCCTTCAATGAGTTTTCATCAACATCCATGCACATCTTTGTCCTGAAGTTTGTCACACAGTATAATTACTACATGTTTACTCTGTCTCCTCTCACACATTAAGCTGGAAACTTGGTGGCAAGGAATGTATCTTATTTATGCTTAGTATATATATAAATCTCTCAAAAGCGTTGATGAAAGAAAACAAGGAAGAATATCTCATTTGGATAAAAATCAAACATCTGAAAAAATAGAGAAAATAACAAAGAAGATCTTACACGTTCTCACCACACAACAAAAGATAATTACGTAACGTGATAGAGGTGTTAGCTATCACTACACTGGTACTCACACTGCAATATATAAATGTAGGAAATCAACACTCAGTACACCTCAAGCTTACACGATGTTCTATGTCAATTATATCTCAATTTTTTAAAATTAAGAAAAAGAAAGCTGCTTCTCTGGATATAACATGACTGTAAATCAAGTTTCAGTGGGGAAAGAACTCATTACAGGAAACTTGAGTAAAAGACAACTTATTTTCTTATAGTAAATGTCAGCAAAGTGGCTAATAAGGGCAAAGTGAGCATTTGGAAGAACAGAAAAACAAAGCTAGGAAAGTCTCCAAAACAAGGTCCTTAACTGGGAACCATGAGTAATTGCACTTAATAGAACAAGAGAAATGTGTCTAAAGAAATAGATGAGGCTGCACAGTCAAGTCTATGGAAAAGTCACATATAAAAGAGAGGTTCAAAAGATGAGAGAAGAAAGAATATTCTGATGTCTATAATTTACTGTAAAATTCTTCAGCATGAACAATGGATATGAGTTGTGTATGTGTACGTGTGTCTGTGTCTGTCTGGAAGTTCTTTCAGCTGGCTGCTGCATGGCTTTAACATACCCCATTTTTTGGGTTTTATACAATTAGTTATTATGTCACTAAGGACTCATGAGTATTTAGTATATAATTTTGAATTATAATCCATTTTTATGTTATTCATTTTGTTTCCCAAACTGTTCCAGCTTTGACCATTGGAAGTTCTTTGAGTTGGCTCCTGCATCTCTGTGACATACCCCACTGTTTTGTTTTGGGACACTTTCTAGCTCTAAAAGCTGCTCCAGGCTGATTCATATATTTTCTTCCTCAGTCCTAAAACCAGTCATTTCTCTAAGAAGCATTGGTTCTTTTATTAGAGAATGTCACCAGAAACTAAGATGTGATCACTGAGTGCTCCCTGCTCCAGGAATATCATTGGTTCCAGGTCCCCCTTAGCACACAGGGCTAAGAAACCTATGTACATCCTAACCTGTGTAAACAGACATGTCTAGAGTTATTCATGTGTCAGTATCAGTATGAAGTTAAACACTAGTTCATATTGATGTCTTCAAGGCTAATCCAGTACCACACAGGTCATTCTATCCTTTTGCCTCATTAACCAGAACCTCCCACTCCAATGGTAAGAAACATAGTTCCCACCATTCATTTACTTTATCCTTGATTTTTAACTGTACCTGTGTCTTTATGCTGATCCAGAATATTATTTGTTATCTGAGTTTGTACAGTCAAATCTTGCTGCTAAAACAATGTTCCATTAATCTGGAGTCTACAAGCCAGATGTTATATGAGCACTGAAAGCAAAGAGCATCAGAGGTCACCCAGCTCACAAAGGTCACATCACTGTGTCTACGTGCTAGTGAACAGCAGAATGTGTGTCAGTTTCATCTGGGTTGTAAGCATGACAACAATAGCTTCCTCTACCTCCAATTATTGGAATTCAGTTATTTTTCCCACAAAGAGAATCTGATAGCTGTGCTTGTTGAAATTGTTCCTGTCAGTTTTCAATAAGATGCATAATTGAGAAGAAATTTTAAAGGTGGCCTGATTTTTTTAAGTACATCACTAGTATCAAGGATGATTTTTAGTAAACTTAGACTGGTGGTTAATAATAGGGGCAACATAAAGGGACATTTAACACAGGAAAGGGAGGGTAACACAGACCTACTGTTTCCTGAGAAGAATGCTGCCTGCCAGACTGGACTTGTTCACATATTCCTTCCTCCCAGAGCACAGCCACTACATCACTACCACCACAGTAATAAACAACACTGAGGTATCACCTGTCTTTCCATTTTGCTTCAATTTTCTCTATCAAAGAGAATAATCTTTATACGTGACAGCCTACATGGCAAACCAAGAGCAAACTGAAGACCAAGACAGTGAAGAGAACAGGAAGAGAAAATCTAAGCTTTACCCGTGAGATCAAACTTCTTTGTCTAAATTAACTCCCTTTAGCGCACTGAGCCCAACTTCAGAGGAGATCCCTGAGCTACCAGTGGTGATCCTGGTCAAACAGTGAAGATACGTTTTCCAACTTTTCAATAAAGACTAAACATGTTACGTTTTGTGTGTATTCAAAATGAAAGACAGTTATGTGTGGAAGTTATAACATGAAGTATTTTCTATCAAGGTAAACTCTCTAATATTGAATGCCCCCAAATCTAAGGAGATTCCTGAGCAGGCAGTGAAATACTTATTTTTTTAAAAAAATGTTTTTAATTGTGGGAGGTAATTAGGTTTGTTTGTTTGTTTGTTTGTTTGTTTAATGGAAGTACTGGGGATTGAATCCAGACATGCATGCTAGGCACACACTCTACCACTGAGCGGTATCTTTCCTGCCTTGAAATACTTATCTTTATCTGAGATACTCTACACTCCTTCTGTATTGAGTCTCATGGATGTGGATATTATAGAACTACGTTTAATTCTAGTGCCAATTATGTTCTCTTTTGTACTTTTCATTTTAACTCTTCCATCTATAGCATTGTAACTAATGAATTTGAAAAGTCCTTTATAAATAGAAAATAAGATAGGGCTCAGAGTAAGTGTTAATTCATCTTGTTTGAGGTTAAAAAGCCTTTTAAAAAAAATCTTTCCTAGTGATATTTTAATTTAGAGCTCAAGGCATATGTCAGAGTTGATAAATTATAACAAATAAAGGTATGATAAAATTAAAATATGCAAAACTGGAGACATGATCATCTTTACTCAGCTAAAAGTGTCACCAATTTTAATAATTAAAATTAAATACAAATACTTTAACTCAAGGAAAATTTTAAGTAGATAATTTGAATAAATTTTGTATGACAAATATTAGCCTGATATTCAGAAAGTGAAAAGTTGAATTCAAAGAACTGTACAATTTCTAATTTAAGATTTTTTAAAGAGAATACTTAAATACACCTCTAAATTAGAAATGAATTGTTAAGGCCCTGTAAGGGACATGAATTTATTTATTTACTTACTCTTTTTTTTTTTTAAGGGGAAAGCATGGACGCAGTCCCCCACTACCACGAATTGTGCAGACGAATTTCCCACATTTGGGAAAACTGCAGGAGTCAGCACATGTGGAGTGCAATGGATAAGCCTTGCCCTGGGAAAATCACCTTTGTGATCATGGTATCGCCCCTGCCAGGTAAGTCTGGGACTTGAATTTAAATTGATCTTATATATTGGAACTTTAAGATACAGTTCTGCTTTGTTTTTCCCTTGAAATGAGAATCACCTCATAAATTCAAATACCTGGGCTCATGATTACTTTTTCAATATGGTAGGGAGTTAAGATTTCATTCATTCAGTAAATATTTATTAAATATCTATTAGATATAAGATGCTGCTGCTGTATTAGGTACTGGAAATTGAGAGAGAAATAAGAGGAAGCCTCTGCCCTTTCAGAGCTTACAGCCAAGCAAAGAAAGTAGATACTAAATGATTGATTACCTAACTACTCACATTTCATAATTGAAAGAAATGGATCCAGGAGAATATGAGATTGCGTAGAGGGAAATTTCTTTAGACTTAGGAGAGGATAGGGGAGAAGAGGGCACCAACATTTCCTTGTAAAACTTTTAGCAGCATAGAAGGAATTGTTAGTGCAAACAGTGAACAGAAGATGATTACAAGAAGAGCATAAAGCGTGGGGAGAAAGTTTGAAGTAGGAAGGATCATGGATATTCAAGAGACTTAGAATGTCTCTGGGCTACACAAATGGAGGGGGCAGGCGGAGAGGCCAGTGAGATGGCCCTGGGAAGGGACAGAGACCAGAACACCCAGACCTGCGTGGACAACTCCTCTCACCCAAAGTTCACCTGGTATAGTTACTCTTCCAGAATTACTGCTGTGTCACACGGGGATGAAATGCAGGTATTTGTGATTTCTTTATTCCTCTTTTATTTCTGTCACATTTATTATTTATCTACATTACTGGTGGTGGGTCTTTTTAAGTCATACATAGGAAGTTTGAATTGCTTTGAAAGTAGGATACAATATATCTCAATACAGTAAATAAACGTAAATACATCTTTCTGCTATATTTTTATCCTTTTCCACTACAGTAAGTGATTTGCAAATAAGTACAAAAATAATCTATTCTTCTCCCAAAACAATGCCAAAAGGTAGAAACAAAAACCAGCATACACCACCAAAATGTAGCTTGAATGAATACCCTTCAGATGTCATGCATGTGATCCATTTGGAAGAGGGAGACAATGCAGGAAGACAAAATAAATGTATTTCTCTGTGCGAATATTTTTTCAAAATCTTAGAGATGCTCTTCCAGCTATAAACACAGAGTATCTTCCTTTAATACAGGTATTATACATGAATTTTGCACTGTTTATTTTAGAATGAAATCAGCTGAGGCCAGAAACAGAACAATTTTCTTATAATAAGTTCATATTTTCCAATTTAAGAATTATTCAATTTCATACTTCTCTGTTCCCCCTGCTATTCACCTGTATAGGTGAAAGCACTTTAATGCTTATTTATGCCACAATAAAGGAGTAAGTAGGGGAAACAAAACAATCACTTGAAACTAAATGCCATTATTTTTTTGTTTCCATTCTTAAGGAAAGTATTGATTGAAGAGACTTGTAAATGAGTAATAATAAAAGAACTTAATTTCCACTTTGAAGAGTCCAGAGGTCATTTAACACAAATTTCTTCTCTGATAAGTAACAAATCTGAAACCCAGGGAGGTTAAATGATTTACCCAAGGTTCTCTAACCAGTAGGATTGATTTCTGGTTTCCTGGTTTCCAGCTCTTCCCAATACTCCCTGCCCATAATTTCACTTTGCCATGTTATTCTTTTTCCAAAGAACAAAGTGGCTGCATATTGCTGTTCAACCTGCAGTAACATTAGAAATAAAATTCATCCAGAACCCTTATTTATAAGGCATCAACTTCAAAAGAATCAATTAATGTTGCAAAGTAATAAGATTTTCTCAAAAAAAAAAAAAAAAAGCCAGCAGAGCAATAGACCAAGATACAAAAGAAAAGGGCCTTACCCTTGGTGTCATTTAATCTTTATGTATGCCTTCACATGGATAACCTTGGTGTTAAAAATAAAGGAATCAATTTTGTTACATTTCAGACCCAACAGTGAGTAAATTTGTGAAGTGCTTACCAGAAGCAGAGAGCTTGGCTGGTTGTCTAGCAACAAAGTGAATAAGCATATTGGTATAAACTAACTATTCTTTAGAGGGAACTACTTTCATTATTCACTTATTAAGTCTGTCTCTTAACAAGAAGGAAAACAATACAAGACTTGGAGGGTGTAGGAGTGGAGGTATAACTGGAGAAGTGAGTTCTAAAAGTTCTAAAATTAACTTCTAGTAATTTGTGGGGAAGGACTCATTTTTCCCCCCTAATTCAAATAGACCCATGCAGAGGTAGATCAGACACTGATGAAAGTAAGGGAGACGTACTCCAGAATCACTGATTTAAAAAACTATCTTTTCATTTTGCGCCTAGTACCTAAGGAAACTGAGTCAAATATGACTCCTCTTACTCCAACTAGAAACGTTTGCCAAAATAAAGGGGACTTTGACTAGTTGGATAAAATGCATTGATGATATCTATCAAACTCACTAATATTACATAAGAGGACATTTTCAAGGAAAAGTTTGGTTTGATTTAGCTGTACATCAAAAATGAGCGTGGCAAGAGGAAAGAAAGACTCATGTACAATTTTTCTTGTGAAGTGTGTCTACGTTGATTGTCAGGCACATATCCCACCATAAACTCTCTCTCTTGTTATTATTATTTTCTTGTAATCTCTGATCCTGGGCAAGAGTTTTTGGATCTTGTTCCTGCAGGAATCAAGAAACTTCTGTCTTATCCTTTCTGTCACCTGCGAGTAGCTTTAGTATCCTCCTTGACTCTTAACTTCTTGCTTGGATTTTGAATTGACGGCATGGTAACTGACTTCAATAAGCTTTTTGGTTCTTGACTACCGCAATTTGCTTTGGAGGGATCTCTGAAATCTACGTCCTTCCTTGATTTGCACAACATCCTTACCTAATCCTGATCCAATATTGTGGTTGGCTTCATCTGCCTTGTTTTTGTATTCTGCTTCTGCCCTTGAGATCCATCTCCACTCACAGCCCCTTCGTGTGCTGCAGTTCTACTGACACTTTCTATTTGATTTAACATAATAATTAGACAAAATTTAAACATTTGGTCACATTTCTTTTTAGATAAAATAATCAAAATTGATAATGTTTACAAACAGTGTTTTCAAGATCTCTTGGGCTACTATTTTAAATGTAATAAATTCTTCATGAGTCTATTCAAACTAAATAGCACTTAAATGCTTATGTAAACAGTTTGAATAACTTAGAACCAAGGAAAACTCATTTTAAATTCCATTGGTTTTAGAAGACCACACTATACTTAAATATTTCAATTGTAGGGTTAAAAAGGAAAGACAACACTAACAATAAGATGTACTATGAATCTACTATGGTATCTGACTTTTCATTGGAACTTAAAAATATTATTCAATGAATATGTTCTAGCATATTCACTAACTGCAGAGGAAACCAACACTGGTAATTTAAGTATTTTATACAACGTCACATGCAAAGCAGGTGAAAGAGCTCAAATTAGAAACTGAGTTTTGTGTAACTTCAAAGTTAAGAATTTTAGCCATTTTTCTTAGTTTCTCCTAAGAAGCCCAACCTTAACTCCTCTGAAATTCTATTAAAAAGAAAAAGTGAATAGGTGACTCCAACTGAAAGCTATAAAGAAACTGTCTTTTTACCTTAAAAGAAATACACATAAAGGGAAGAGAAAGCAGTTATTCTCATATACTGCTGGTATGGGTGTCAACTGGTTCAAATGCTGTGGGAAACTATCCGGCAGCTTCTACTGAAGTTAAACATATATGTACCCTGTTACTGGCAATGCTACTGCTAGGTATAGGTATGCACTCAAAGGAATTAAGGGCACATGTTGACTAAAAGCCATGCATGTGTAAGTTTGTATCAGAGTTATTCATAAGACCTTAAAACCCAAAGCAACCTAAAAGTCTATACAGAATAAAATGAATTACATAGACTGTGGTGCATTCATACAGTGGAATAACAGTGGAAAAAAGACAACCTTGGATCTCATAGATGTAAAACTGGGCTGCAGAACCCTGACACAACATAGTATGCTGCATAGTTCCAAAAAGTTCTAAAACATGGAAAGCTGAACTCTGGTGACTGTGGTAAGAAGACTTATTTCCTGTGAGAAGGAAGTATTGACTAGAGGAGGCAAGGAGTTCTTCTAGAGCACTAGGAATAGTCTACATTGACTTGAGTGTTGGGTTACTCTCATGTGCATTCCTAAACATTCACTGTGTAATTCAGGTGTCTGCATGTGTGTATGCTTTCATTTAAAAATGTTCCAGGATGAGATTAAAATAAATTATTTATTAAAAGGTTACAATAATCCTAGAAAATACATAATTTGAAACACTGAGTTTGAGTCTAACTTTCCTATAAGCCACATTTATAGGTATTACTTTCTTCCTAAATGTAGGGTTAAAAGGAAGAATTAGTCCATAATCAGTGCTGAGAAATTGTATGACTCTTTAAAGAAAAACAGAAAACACTAGACCATTTTCTCACAGGGTACTAGAAAATAAATTCAATATGGAATTAAAAGTTAAACATAGCAAAAAAAGCCCCCCAAATTACTGGAAAAAATATAGATTATTTTTCTATTACTCAGTTGCATAAATCTATATGTAACACTATTTAAAACCATGAAGGAAAATATTGAAGTATTTTCTTTCATATTTTAAAATTTCTTGTCATCAAAAGCTCAAAAGCAAAATTTGAAAAGCAAATTTTGAAAAAGCAAGATAGGAAAGATATTTTCAGTCTCTGACAGGAAATGATTACTTATTACCTGTAGCACATAAAGAATGCTCATAAGCTATTTATGTATTATGTCTAAGAAAAGCAGCACAACAGAAGTAGAGAGAGAATACAGACGATGTAAAAACATAAGTAAAATATGTAGCATAGCCATGTAGAAAATGTTCAACTTTATGTCAAATAGATGCAACTAAAACTACAATTAAAAATACTTCTTCTATCAAATTGGTAAAAAGTAAAAATATAATGGGTAGAGGAGTAAGAAGTACAAAAAAATACACATTATCATGCATGCTTATTACATTAAATTGGCTCAAAATATATAAACAGCCTATACAACTCAATATCAAAAAACCCAACAACTCAAAAAATGAGAAGACCTGAATAGACATTTGTCCAAAGAAAACATACAGATGGCCAAAAGGCACATGAAAAAATGCTTAACATTGCTAATTATCAGGAAAATGCAAATCAAAACAACAATTAGATAAACATTCTGACAGATGAGATGTTATCATCAAAAAGTCTACAAATAAGAAATGTTGGTAAGATGT